TTTTATTGCTATTTTTCATTTGGAAAAGTGCATATTTCCTTATTTGGAAATGCGCCCTGGACCCTGAAAACAATGCCCGACGTCGTCACCGACAGTGAGCACGACCCCAAGCTCATCAGCACACCCTATGTACAGCCTACACCAATGGCACGTCATGACTCTTGGTAAACTACCTTTTGGTAAACTGTCCCCTTGGCAAACTATCCACTGGACAACTACCCATTCTGATATAAGATGCATTTTGGCAAAGTATCCATTATTCATATATGAAAGTAACAGCTACTGGTGGAGATCCACCCTCTCCACGTTTATGACATTTCGAAGGGGGAAGAGGCAGCGTTGGTAGCAGGCCTCGAGGGGGAAGAGGTGGCCTACAAGTTCCGAAAGCCCTGGGAGGAGGGCTACATTCGCTACCAAGGCTCCTTACCTCAAGAAGGTGCCCAAAACGCTGCCGATAGGCATACAGAAATGTGGGATAACGACACACAGGCATACCTTATGCTCCCTGCGGGTTACATGGCCCCACACGACCCCCAGGACTGACGAGCTGGAAGAAGTGCAATCCAAAGCTGCTCGCATTTTGTTATCAACGATGAAAAAAGAAGGCAAGATCCCGACCTCATCAGACGCCCACTGGAAGGACTTAAGGGTGTCATATACACCTTCCCAGCTGGACGCCGTTTCAGTGTTGAACAGCTATGGACTGATCTTGATGCCCGATGCCCTGCTGCTGGATCTTGACGAGCTGTCTTTGACAAAGCCTTCACTCCTGGAAACGGCATTGTATCCAATGTTCGGCCAGATCGTCTGGCAAGTCGCACATAGGTTGGGCCATCTCTATGGCCGTTCTTCCGAATTTGCCATGGAGAAAGCAGGTCTTTTGCGCAAGGAGAAGAGGGCTCCAAACTGGTACAATATGTTCAAAATATATGCTAGCAGGATGAAACCAGAGGAGGGGGATCACGGTTAGTCTTCGTTTTACCTTCTTGAACCCGCTTCCTCATATAATATGATTGTAGAAGGCCTCCAGCTCTGGAACAGGGCCACGAACGAGGAGTACAAGAAGCTTATGGAAGGAGCCACAACAAAAGAAGAGAAAGATGAACGGATCCAGGAGGCTGTTAGTTTCATCAAGAATCAAGTGAACGAAGAAGGGACTAATGTCCGTGACGCGAACCTTCGCTTCGCGTCTTACATGAAGGAAATTCGCGACCTTGTAAGTCTGATTGGTTTGTTCATCACAATCTTCTTACATACACCACTTTTACAGATCACCAATATCAAATGTCGTGACAAATCTTTCGACGTTGCTGGCATCTTGGTCTACAGCGGCAAAAATCTTACGGCGCGGAACAAGACGGGTTTTTTCATGAGTTCCGAGGACCTTCAAGCACTCTGCACCCGTGAGGAGTGGCCAATTCCCACCTTGATGGACATCTTTGTTAGCAGAGTCCGGTGTGTTGTCCCTCTTTCATGTTATGGGTTTTTTTCTTACTTGTACTGCTATAGCGCTATGCATGCGGACCAGCAAATTAAGCAGTCGATGGAGGAACTCAATGTGGCTCGATGTGCTACCTTGCATGAAGGAACGTCAGAAACAATTCACGCAATTGTTTCT